TTCATTGTTTGTCGACGCATATGTTCTTGAGATGAGGGACTTTGACCTCATTCTCGGGATGGATTGGCTATCCTTTTATCACGCAGATATCAGATGTCATGACCAGGAGATTACTCTCTATCTTCCGGGAGACGATTCGATTACCTTATTTGGCAGCAAGAATCATTCATTAACTCATGTCGTTTCAATGGCGAAAGCTACCAAGTTGTTGCAACGAGGAAACTGCCAGGGTTATCTGGTAAGCCTTGTTGATGATTCTAAGAAAGCACGATCACCTCACGATGTCCCAGTTGTTCGTGAGTTTGTAGACGTGTTCCCAGACGAGCTTCCAGGAGGACTGCCTAACCGACAGATGGAGTTTTCTATCGATCTCATACCAAGAGCCGGTCCCGTATCCAAAGCCTCGTACCGTATGGTGCTGAAGGAGTTGCAGGGGCTTAAAGCGCAGATTCAGGAGTTATTACGACTCGGTTTCAACCGACCAAGCGTGTCACCTTGGGGAGCACCCGTTCTCTTTGTCAAGAAGAAGGACGGATCCATGCGCATGTGTATCGACTACCGGGATCTTAACCGGTTGACGATCAAGAACAAATATCCACTTCCCAGGATCGACGACTTATTCGATCAGTTGAGGGGAGCCTGTGTATTCTTAAAGATTGATTTACGATCAGGCTACCACCAGTTGAAGATTAAGGATTCAGATATCACTAAGACCTCGTTACGGCCATTACGAGTTCGTCGTCATGCCATTCAGCCTCAGTAATGCTCCAGCGGTTTTCATGGACCTGATGAACCGTATTTTCCATCCCTACCTCAATCAATTTGTTATTATCTTTATTGACGACATTCTTATCTACTCGAAGAGCCAGAAGGAGCACGAGGAGCATCTGAGGGTGGTTCTCGAAACCCTCAGATGAGAAAATTTGTATGCAAAATTTTCCAAATGCGAGTTCTGGCTCCAGCGAGAAGCCTTTCTGGGTCATGTGATTACTCAGGCAGGTATCGAGGTAGATCCTTCTAAGGTTTCCGCTGTTCAAAACTGGTCGACACCGAGGAGTCCGTCCGAGGTTCGCAGTTTCCTCAGTTTAGCTGGCTACTACCGCAGGTTTATCGAGGGCTTTTCTAAGATTGCCCTCCCATTATCCCAGCTGATGAGGAAGTCTGTGAAGTTCGAGTGGACTGATCGTTGTGAGGCGAGCTTTCAGGAGCTCAAGAGGAGATTAGCTTCAGCACCGGTGTTGACTATTCCCGATCCTTCTCGGAGTTTCACCATTTTCAGTGATGCTCGAAGAAAGGACTGGGATGTGTACTTATGCAGGACGGCCATGTCGTTGCCTATGCTTCACGTCAGCTTAAGCCGCATGAACAGAACTACTCGACGCACGACTTGGAGTTAGTCGCAGTTGTTCATGCCCTTAAGATTTGGCGACATTATCTCTACGGCGGTCGTTGCGAGATTTTCACAGATCATAAGAGCCTGCAGTACATTTTCACGCAGAAGGAGCTTAACATGAGACAACGCCGTTGGCTCGAGCTCGTCAAGGATTATGATTGCTCTATTCAGTATCATCTGGGAAAGGCGAACGTCGTTGCGGACGCCCTAAGCCGAAAGGTGAGGGGTGACTTGACATACGTCGTTACTCAGCAGAGTCCGTTGATTCAGAAGTTTGCCCGGATGCAGATTCAGGCGGTCGATGCACTTCCCACAGCCATTTCAGGGAGTGTCAGTGCCAGTGATAATGCCATGCAACTTCAGCCGACGCTGAGAGAGAGAATCCGGCGGGAACAGGCTTCTGACGAGTTCATTCGAGTCATGGAGGCCAAAGTCCGCGCCGGAGGCGTCGAGGGTTTTCAGTTAGGTTTAGATGGTACATTGGAGTTCAGAGGTAGGATCGTGGTCCCGAAAGTCGAGGCGTTGCGGAAGGAGATATTATCAGAGGCTCATATCGCACCCTATCTCGCCCATCTCGGGAGCACGAAAATGTATCATGACCTGAAAGGGTCGTTCTGGTGGCGCGGAATCAAGAAGGACGTCGCTGAGTTCGTCAGGAGATGTTTTACCTGTCAGCAAGTCAAAGCCGAACATCAGAGTCTGATCGGCCTCCTGCAACCACTGTCGATTCCGAGGTGGAAGTGGGAGGAAGTCACGATGGATTTCGTCACTGGATTACCGAGGTCGTCTGAACATCACGATGCTATTTGGGTCGTGGTCGACAGATTGACTAAGGTCGCTCATTTCTTACCCGTTTCGATGAAGATGTCTTTGGATAAGTTGGCTGAGATATATACCCGTGGGATCATCTGACTCCACGGAGTGCCTGTTACTATCGTATCAGACAGAGATCCCAGATTCATTAGTAGATTCTGGCACAGTTTACACGAGGCGATGGGCACGAAGCTAGAGTTCAGTTCAGCCTACCATCCGGAGACAGATGGTCAGTCCGAGCGAACCATTCAGAGACGCTTGAGGATATGTTACGCGCTTTGGTTGTTGACAGGGGTGCTAAGTAGGAGTCGTTGTTGCTGTACGCCGAGTTCGCGTACAACAACAGCTATCATTCTTCTTTCAGATGGCTCCTTACGAGGCACTTTACGGTCGCAAGTGTCGTTCCCCTCTTTATTGGGACGACGTTGGAGAGCGACGAGTACTCGGTCCGAAGATGATCGAGGAGACGGCAGAGCATGTCGAGTTGATCCGGCAGAGACTCAAGACAGCTCAGAGTCGGCAGAAATCTTCAGCCGATCATCATCGACGAGACATTCAGTTCGAGGTTGGCGAGCCAGCTTTTCTTAGAGTTCGTCCTATTCGCGAAGTTGTTTGATTTGGGAAGAGAGGGAAGCTGCACCCTCGATTCATTGGCCCGTTCGAAGTTCTCGAGCGAGTAGGCGAAGTAACGTATCGATTAGCCTTGCCTCCCGAGTTATCAGGCATTCATAATGTTTTCCACGCATCTGTGTTGCGTAAGTACGTGTGCAATCCCGGTCATGTTATTCCTCATACCGATTTTCAGGTTCAGCCAGATTTATCGTACGAGGAGCGACCGGTAGCTGTACTGGACCGTCAGGTTCGTCGGCTTCGGAAGCGAGAAATTCCTCTCGTGCGTATTCAGTGGGATCGCCACGGAGCTACTTGGGAGGCAGAGTCTGATATTCGCGCTCGTTTTCCAGATTTCCAGTTTTGATGTACATATTTTCATGTTCCATGTACATAGTTCATGTATATTCAGTTATGTTTTGAATTTCCGAGGATGGAAATTTTTAAGGAGGGAGGATTGTAATATCCCGTCAGTTTAATAATATAAATCATGTTTTAGTTCTGATATAATAACGTTGTCGATTATTATTTTCGGAATTAATTATTTTTCGTTGAGATTATTCGAAATTATTTTCGATGTCCCGTTTACGTTCGGAATAATTTTGGTAAATAAGCATTATGTTTAATTAAATAATTAAACATAATGTAGTGATTAATTTACAACTAATCACAATTAGAAGGTCAAAGCCGTATCAATTCTTCTCTTTTAATTCCAAATGCCGATCGAGACCTGATCGCCTGGTTTGGGGATACATACCGAATGGAGTTTTCTCGACGCGGACGGCATACGAAGCTTTGACACATCGGACCACGGACCATTGCTAGATGTTATGGAGAGCTATATGGAGGGCGCCGATGGCCCAAAGAGTGCGGCATTTTCTTTGGTTGGCTCTTAGGGACCGTTTATTTACCAATATGGAACAGGTTCGTCGACATATGGCTGAGGATGACGCATGTGATTTTTGTGGTCAACCCGAGTGGACGATTCATGTGTTGCGAGACTGTGAAAGGGCGCATAACGTGTGGCTGAGGCTTGTCCCAAGCTCGTGCCGGCGAAGCTTCTTCTCCGAGGATGTGACAGCGTGGATGTGGTCAAATGTGATGGAGCATGCTGCTGTTGGGCTTGAGCAATGGGATACCACGTTTCCAATCGTATGCTGGCGGCTATGGGCTTGGCGGAACATGGCCATATTTTCGAATAAGGTCATTCCTATTGAGACGCAGATTGCGGATATTAAAGGTAGAGTTGATCGGCATGTGGTGTGCATGGATGGTGCAGGGGTTTGGGGATCTGAGACCGTTGTTATGGGGAAGCAATGATTCATTGATCGCCCCCCATGGTGGGTGGATCAAAGTCAATACGGATGGCGCGCTGTGCACGGATTCTAGACGGGGAAGTGCTGGTGGGTTAGCTCGAGACTCACATGGTCGATGGATGGGTTGGTTTCTCATGAATGTGGGGTTCTGATCTACAACTGGGGCGAAATTATGGGATCTTTTCCACGGTATTCGTTTGGCTTGAAAATTGGGAGAGAGGAATGTCATGGTAGAAGTGGATAATAGTAGTGTCGTGGATATGGTTCTCGGGGATGATGATAACTTTGGGCTTCATGAACCCATTATCCAGACCATTCGTGATTTGCTCAACTGGGAGTGGAATATTCGTGTGTCACATATCTATCGGGAAGGGAATTTTTCGGCCAACAAGTTAGCTTCGCTTGCTGCGGGAGTTCCGGTTGGGTACCAGCGTCTTATATCCCCGCCACCGGCTCTTGGCCATTGGTTGAACTATGATATCGTAGGAGTGGCTCGTCCACGTCGTGTGTTAAATTAGTGATTGTTAGGCTTCGATCTCTTTTATTGTACCAAGAAAAATAAAGTTATATTGTAAGGATATGGACAAAGATCTATAAGAAAAACATAATACGTTTTAAAACTTAGGAAATTGTTACCTCACCTTTTCTTGGATTCTATTAAGAATATTTAATCATCCATTTGTTTATATATATATATAGGGATGCGCTCTGGTGAGAATGGTGGTCAATGAAAGAAATAAGAATACATCACATCCGCAGGATTGAATAATCCAAAGGCTAAAAAAACGTCCAGTTTTCACACTAAATAAGGCTAAACTAGTCATTATATCATACCTAATCAATTAAGTACCCGCGGCCCAACAAAACCTTACCCACCCTCCACATTCTCTCCCACGCTTTTTTCCACGGACACAAACCACGCACAGAACACACACCTCCACACCCAAAGGGTCATCTGCTCAGCCGCCCTCTACCGTCGGTCCGCCGCCTGCACATACCGTTCGGCCGCCCGCACACGCTGGTCCCGCCGCCGTCGACTTACTTCTCCGCCGCCGTTTTACCTGTTCCCCGACCTCCTCCGTCATCTCCTCAGCCTCGCCGGAGATGGACACCGCACAACCACGGCTCGACATAACACCATTTAAAATCTCTGCCCTATGGTGGCGAAAACGTCATCAGTGGAACGACCTGACCGAGATGAAATTAGCCACCGCTTAAATGTTTTTCCCCAACTATCTAATGATTGGCTGTAAAAAATTCTCTGTCGGAGGTGGCGAAATTCAGTCGTCCTTAACTTACAATCTCCGACGTCTTCTGAAATCCGGTCGTCCTCAACTTCACCTCCGGCTGGCCCGACGCCTCCCCTCGAGGCAAGACGGTTCCTTCCAGGATGCCAACACAATCAATGATCTCCACCTGGAGGCGGCTTTGCCGGAGCGCGAGTGGTGAAGGAGCGGCTGGAGAGGGCACACGGTGGAGTTGCAGCTCCTGTGGGTGCAGGGGCTTAAAGTTGAAAATTTAATAAGCCACGGAGACTTGATTGAAGTTTTAAAAACTTTAGTATATTTTAATTGAGTATATTTTAATTTAGTATATTTTAATTGAGTACATATACATATATATTATAATATATCTTCTTTACTAAAAAATTTATAAAAATAATAAAATACTAAAATTTACTTTTATAATAATAATAAAATAAATATTTTAATTATTTAAGTTAACTCGATTAATTAAATAAATAATCCAATTATTTTTTTAGTTCAATTGTATTTTTGATTGTCACATGAAAAAGATCGAATTGAATGCACAATACTTAGAAACATTATGCACGTAACTGACTGCCAACATGCACTATAACATTAGACTAAGTGCATATTAAAGCGTTCGAGAAAGCACATTAGCATAATAAATTTACATTTTGCACAAATAC